ACCCCTCCCCCCCAAAGGGGTCACGATCCACAGGTTGAGAACCGCTGACTTAGAAAGAAAGCTAGGCTCTATCCTACTGATCAGACATTAAAGGCCAAGCACTGTTGCATGCTGGCTGGCTCATTTCATACGGGCGGTCAGTTTTCACGGTGCCGGGGCTAGATGTTGAGAAAGCAAGAGGGACCCTTTCTCAAAACACACATACATACCTGCACACACACACATACCATCATGCCTCTCAAAACACACACACATACCTGCACACACACACACACACCCCACCACACCTCTCAAAACACACACACACACACCCATGGGGGGGGGGGCATTGTGCCAAGATCTTGCCTTTATAATCAAACAAAACACCAAGCCCAAACTACATGAACTGTAATTTAGTTTTGTTCTAAAATAAATCCTGACTGATGTTTTCACATTTTGGAGAGGATTGGGGGGCTACAGGGTGGTTTTCCTGTGTGTCTGGACTGGGCAGTGAGCGTCCCGAGGGAGGGACTTCGGTCTTCTCCCTTGTCCCTGCCCTGGGCCTTGCCCTGTGTGTTGGACAAAGGAGAGAGTGAGGGCCTAGCGGCAGGCCCTGGACTGCTGACCCGGGGCAGAGTCGTGAGCAAAATAGGTGGTTTTTGGTTTGTATTTTTCCAAGGAACATTTTTTTTTCTATGCACATATGAAATGTTTATTGAACACCTACTGTGTGCTTGGTGTTGCACCTAGGACTGTTGTTGGTGGGTTCCACTTCATAGTGACCATATGCATAATAGAGCAAGGCATGGCCAGGCCCTGCCCCACCGCACAACCACTGTCAGGTTGGATCGCCTTGCTCAGACAATGGCTGTTAGGTGCTATTGAGTTGGCTCTGACCCATAGCGACCCTACGGTTTTCAGCCACGACCCACCTGACATCAGCAGTGATAGCCCTGGCTCAACAAGGATAGCCCTTCGTCCACTTTCTCTTGTTCTGAATCTGGCCTGAACTAGGATGATTTGATGTACCGTACGCTAATTTCCCCCATATAATCAACTGATAGAAAACCCCAGCCATCAAGTTGATTCTGACTCACAGTGACTCTGTAGGACAGAATAGAACTGCCCCTTTTGTCTTTTGTAGACTGTAAATTTACGGGAGCAGTCAGCCTCATCTTTCTCTCATGAGTACTTGGTGGGTTTGAACTGCTGACCGTTCCATTAGCAGCCCAAAGGATAACCCACGATGCCACTAGGGCTCCTTTTCATAAAGCGACACAGCACACCCATTATCAGTGCAGTAGCCCCACTGCTCTGCTCCCTAAATCCTTGGTCAGTGACTCACTCTGGGACCCGAAGGACCTTTGTGTGGGGTTTTGTGCCCCATAATTTGCAGCAGGGCTACTGCCAGGATGGTTTACGAAACTGCAAGCTACCCCGTAACCAGCTTACATTCTCCCAGGGAAGCCTTCCTTGGTCAGGCACAAGGAAGCTCCAATTATGTTACCTTAGTTTTGGTTCTGTGGCTTTAAAATTATTTTTAATAACAGCTTTATTAAATTCACCTATCATAGAGTTTACCGAAGTGAGTTGCTTTCAGTATATTGAATGGCTTTTAGTATATTCATGGAATTGTACAATCATCATTATTATCGGTTTCAGAACATTTTTATAACCCCACATCCCAAAAGAAACCCCATATCCACATTAAGCACCCATTCCCCATTTCCCTCTCCCCCCGCCCTAGGCAGCCAACCTACTGGCTGCCTGTGTGGATTGGCCGGGACTGGACATCACGTGGCAGCATGTGGCCCTTCCTGTCTGGCTGCTTTCACTTAGCACGTTGTGTTCAAGATCCCGGATGTGGTAGCACGTATCAGCACCGCATCCCCTTCTCTTTTGAAAAGCATTTCATGGTGTGGGTGTACCACTGTTTGTGTAGCTGGCCGTCAGTTGTTAGACCTTTATGTAGGTTGTTGGCCTTGGGGGCCCTGATGAATATTGCCACTATGAGCTATCGTGCATAAGCCGAGGATTTTATTTTTCAAGGTTTTGTATCTTTGTCACTTGGGACTGAGGCATGTACAGGTATGCAGCCTTGACAGTTTCTAGTACCCAAAGGCATACATTTTCTTTAGAGCCATAGAAATGCATAGAGCACATGTCTTGTAGCACAACAGATTGGAAGGTAGTTGGAAGAAAGCACTGGAAGAAAGTAGCTGGGAACAAGTCTTGGGAAGTAAGCTTAATATAATTTGTTTGATTAGCACATTTATACTTGATTAGTAATTTCTTATGTGTCTATTTGCATTTTAATTATCATGGTGCAGTTGGTTAAAATGCAAAACTTTAAACTCCTGTGAATCCATTCTGAATCTTTCGATATGAACGTTTACTCCGTGCTAGGCATGCGAGGTGATGGGGACATATTGACAGCCAAGATTGACGGGGTCTGTCTCCTCAAAGTACTTAGGTCCAGTTGGCTGAGGGTGGGACGGTGGCTGTAAGGGTGTGTGGGGACCAGACACCCAGCCTGCAGGACAAGGCGGATGGGTGGTGGGTGGGTACCCAAGGCTGGATGAGATGAGCTGAAGAAGAGCAGAAGATGGAGGAGGAAGGAGAGAATTCCTAAGAAGAAAGTTTAGCATGTTCAGTGTTCAAGGTGAAGTGTGCTGAGGACTGAGCCAAAGAGCAGGGAAGACTGGTACCCTCCATAGCTGCCCCAGATGGGGTGGCCTGTGCCTAGGGCGCTGGGAATCGTTAGCCCAGCAGGTCTGCTTCTGGCCCTGGCACAGATGTGTGTGTGGGGGTGGGCACTGAATCAGAAGTGCTGCTTATTTCCTCTGTAGTGATTAAAGGACAGGCCCCTCCCATGAGAAGAGGTTTAGAAGAGGTGAGTGGGGGGGCTGGAGGAAAGCAGTAGGTGGCTTCCGGGCCTGCAAGAATCCACATCCTCACGCCTTAAGGGGGGCCTCTCAGGGGCTGGCAAAGTCTGAAACGTGTACAATTATGGTTCAGTTTATCTCTTGCCTGAAGTGACCACTACCTCCTGCTGCCATCCCAGCCATCCTGACTCAGAGTGACCCCACAGGACAGAGTAGAACTCTCCTGTAGGGTTTCCGAGGCCATCCGTTCTGATGAGCGCAGACCCCTCATCTCCTCATGGCACGGCTGATGGGTTTGAGCCGCACATCTTTCGGGGAGCAGCCTGAGGCTTAACCTACCGTGCCACCAGGGCTCCTTGCTTTAATTGAAGACGCCAGTGTAAGTGAGGGACAAAGATTGCCAGAACAAATTCCAGGGAGGAAGGCAGCCAGGCATCCTTTCTCAGGACACTCCACGTGGCCGCTCTCTCCTTGGTTTCGCCACCCCTTGCTGTGGACCCGATCCCCACGCGTGGCCGTCCCCGTGGGTCAGAGGAGAGCTGTGCTGCACAGTGTTCTCTGTGGCTGGGTTTTTTCCAGCAGAAAATCACCAGGCCTTTCTTCCGTGGTGCCTCTGGTTGGCCTTGAGTCACCATCCTTTGAGTTAGCAGCTGAGCACGGCCACTGTTTGCACCACTTCATTCTCCTCCTCTTGTAAATTCGCTCTTACTTCACAATGCAAAGCCAGGAAGAGGAGCATTACACGGTTTTCCTGCTCCAGGGAATTCAGGTGTCGAGCTGGCGGTTGGCGGCAGGGGAGCAGATTTACCTGAGCTCTCACCTCCATTGAGAGGCCACAGGATCTCAGGGTACAGAGTCTGACGGGACCAGGCAGGGCAGGATCGGGTGCCAGTCCACCCCTAGGGGGGCTGTGGGCATCTAGTAAGATGTGTGCATGTAAGCTCTGCTCAGATGAGGAACCGAGGCTGGAGGAGCCGGGGCACTGGCCCAGGATTGGGGGTG